CGCTAAAAGCACGAAAAATCATTTGACATCCGGACGTCATTTTTTACAATGGAAAACCTTTTAAGAAACATCGCAAATTTTCTTTTTCGATATCATTCTCGTGCCTTGTCTGTAACACAATGTATTTCCGCCCTAAAATCAAAAAAAAAAATATTTAATTAATTAATTTCCATTTCCGGTTGTTTTTTATTTATTGTCTGAAGAGGGAAAGAAAGGAGGTTTAAAAAAAAAAGAAAAAAAGGAAAAATCGGAAAAATAAACGCGAAAAAAAGTTTTAAAAAAAAAAAAAAGAGGAAGGGGGAAAACGTATCAAAATGAAAAGGGAAAGAAAATTTTCGGTTTAACCTCAATCTTATGCCACGTTAAAATAAATTACGCGACTCGTTTTTGCCTCGAAAGCGACGACGACGACTATGACTACGATGAAAATTACGTTTCGGGTTGAAACTTCGCGTTAAAAATGTCAAAACTTTTTTCTTTGTCTCCTCCCACGTCGAATTGTTTTTTTTTTTTTTTACAACCGTTTTAAGATGGCGATTTGAAATCGCCATTTTTTTTAACAACGAAAAAGGAGAATATCGTCGTAAATAAGAACAAGATTCTGGAAAATTTTGTTAATTCATTCGAGTACCAGCACTTTTAGGAAACACATAAAAGTACCGGAAAATGCGTTGAAAAATGAGAAAATTTTTGAAATCGAAACATTTAAAACGACGGAAATGATTTCAACCATCGTGAATCGTGAATCGAGTACCATCCGTGCCACAAACGCTGGAAGATAAGAATCCAGACAAGACAAAGTTCAGACAATCTTCAAATAACACCAAAGATGCCACCAAATGAATACCTGAATGCCAAAAAGAAAAAAATTCCAACAAGTACGTAAAACATGTCGCGAATGAAAGTCAAACGTAATAATAACAATAATAATTCCCATCGAATAAGACGATCTCGGTGAGACTTATAAGAATTGTTATGACGTCATAGGTTATAACAAGACGAAACCTATCCATCAGGCATGTGCAGCATCATCACCGATATCCCATAGGGATCGTCGGTCGGGTAAAAACCTGGAATGAATGTTCGAAAAACAATCCGACGAATTGTGATGTGATTATGAGAGAAAATAATAATAATAATAATAATAATTTGTAGAACAAAGAAGAAAAACTAGTGAAAGCGGAAATTAATTATGAAAATTATGAAATTTTCCATCGAAAAAATTTACTACAGATCCCTTGTCTCGTCTCTCACGTCGTAAAAGCGAAAGTAATAATAATGATAATAAATCAAAAAACGAGTCGAAGGCAAATTAAAATAATAATAATAATAATAATAATAATACATTATCACTAAGATTTTGTGATAAGAATTTATCATTTAACAAATTTAAATTTTATGATTCGTATTTAAAATTTACGATTATATATATATATATATATATATATATATATATATATATATATGCATGTATATAGAATGAAAATTAATTTTCCAAATTTTCCGAGTGCGGAAGATAAAAGAAGGTTCGTTCGCTCGTTCGCGTGCGCGTATCGCAACCCCACCCCACCTCATCCCTCTTCTTCGATTGTTCTTTCATTGCTCATATCATGATAAAAAGGGAGGAAAAGATAGGGTTGGAGAGAGGTAAAAAAAAAAAAAAAAAGAAAAAAAAGGTACGACGAAGACTAAAAGTTTTTTAATTTCATCCCTGATTGTCGTTGTCGTTGTTGTTGTTGTTGTTGTTGTTGCTGTTGCTGTTGTTAATCTCAAAGGATATGAATTATTTTCTCTTTGACAATAAACTCACGGGGACACAAATAATCGTTTTATATTAAAAGGAGGAGGAGGAGGAGGGGATAGTCATTTGATTGTTTAAAACAAACAGACGGACGGACGGACGGACGGACGACAAACAAACAAACAAACAAACGATCGGAGAAAAAAAAAATAAAAAAAAAAAAAAAACCTTTTTTTTCGTCATTATTACTTTTTTTTTTTTTTTTTTCCGTTTCCGGTTCCGTTATCGGACAAAACTCGAAATTATTATTATTATTTATTATTCTCGTCAATCGGTCTTTTTTTTTTTTAATGATGATGATGATGATGGTAATAAAAAGAAAAAAAAATGTTGGGGGGAAATCAAAAACGATATTTTTTTTTTTTTTGAAACGGTTTAAAGGGACTGTGATGGTGACGGTGGTGGTGGTGGTGGTGGTGGTGGTGGTGACGATGGTGGTGAGGGGTCGGGTGGAATTTTTACCTAAAAATTCATTTTAATTAAATTTACGAATAATAATAAATGATGGAAAACCTCGCGAGAGGAGAAAAAGGAAAAGTCAAAGTCACCACCTTATACGAAAACGTCGTTGAGCTTACATATAATAAAATAATAATATTATTTAGAGGAATAATAAATGAGTGAGTGAGTGCGTGCGTGCGTGTGTGGAATGGGGAGGGGTGCGTGGGGATGCGTGGGAGTACGTGCGTGCGTGCGTGCATATAAACGTTAAGCAGCTTACTTATTAAATGAAAATATGAAATTTTCATCAAGGGATCGAATTTTTTTTTTTTTTTTTTTTAAATTAAATCTGCACAAAATTCAAAAAGCTCAACTCGTTTTATTTTTTTTTTTTTTATTATTCGCACGCATGCACGCACGCACGCACTTTTTTTTTTTAAAATTAAAATTACGAAAAATATATTAATAATAATAATAATAATAAACACGTAAACACTTACCCTTTTTATATTTTTTTTATTATGGGTTTTTTTCGCCGCGGAAAACGCAAAATCTTTTCATACTGCAAATGAAAAAAAAATAATAAAATGATGATGATGATGATGATGATGATAAAAAGAAAGGAAACGAGATTAATAATTTTTTAAATAAGATGAAAATAGTACACGCACACACGCACGTACGCACATACACAATGGAAAAATTTAGAAAAATTTAGAAAAAAAAATGTAAACACGAACCGTATGAATACAAATTTTAAAATCTTCGTTTGTTGTTGTTGTTGTTGTTGTTGTGCATTGATAAATATATATAAATACGTTTATCCACCAAAATTGTGTGTGTGTGTAAATCGATTCGTTTTTTTTTTTTTTTCTTTATCTCCGCGTTTTATTTTAACGTTTTATTCGATTATTATTATTATTTTATATTTAACTTATTACATTCCGTTTATCGATAAAAATCATCCCTTTCGCTCTCGTTATATACTCACATACATACACAATGTATATGTTACGACGAACGCGAACTCAAAGCGGCGGACATATTCGACAGACGGGATAGAACGAGAGAGAGAAAGAGAAAAAAAAAAAAAAGAGGAAAAGAGGAGGAAAAAAAAAAAAATTGCGGTTTGATCCCAGATGGGGATGCAGGAGATGTTGAGAGAACGCAGGACCAGTGACGTTGTTTCAAATATACGAGGGTGCGTTCGGATGAAATGATGTGAGAATAATGAGATTTTAGTTGCGTGATTATACGTTAGATGTCAGCACGCGACGGGGAAAGCTTTCGAAAGGAGATAGGGGAAAAGAAAATTGTTTTATCAATTTTCCGCCCCAATTTTTAATTTAAATTTTTTTATTGTTGATTGTTTTTAAAACAAACAAACAAACGAACGAACAAACAAGCTTTTTTTCTTTTTTTTTTTTTTTTGCAAGTGAAAGGAAAATGAAAATAAAATTCACGTCACGTATATTATATAATAATAATAATAATAATATTTATTTATTAAAAAATACAAAATTTAAATTTAAAATATCGTCACCGGTGCAATATTTTTCTTTCTTTTTTTACAATCAGTCAATCAATCAATCAATCAATCACTAAGATAAATTTAAAAAAAGAACAAATAAACCAAAACCCCTAATACATTAAATAATTTTTTTTTTTTCTAATAAATAAATAAATAAAAAATTTTGTTTTTTTATATACAGAAATTTTTTTTTCAGGCTCGTACAAAATAATTAGTCGATTGATTGATCGATCGATCGATTAATCAATCGACTAATTTACATAATCGATCGAGCCTAAATTACATTTATAAAATTAAAGCAAAATTTTTAACATTTTTTTTTCTCTCTTTCAATTTTTACTATACGACAAATGTGGTATACAGCAAAAGGGTAACTCGTTGGCATTAAATAATTATTTTAAAAAAACACAAAAACACAAAAAACAAACAACAACAACAAATAACAGAAACAAATTTTTTTTTAATAATTAATATTATTATAATAATTGTTTAAAAATTGATTAATAACAGAAAATAATAATAATAATAATAATAACAGTGATTTCGTTTATAAATTAATAATATTAATATTATTTTTTTTTAATCTTAGGTAAACAATTAACCAAAGAATTTTAACAAAATTTGTGATAGTTTTATTATTATTATTATTATTAATTATTGTTATAAACTATTACAGAAAACAAATAATTAAACTTTTAATAAAATTTCCAGTTAAGAAAAAAAAAAAAAAAAAAAAAAAGAATACTACCCGTCTCGCGGGTAGAAGAAAATTTAAGCGGAATGTAAATTATTAAAGATTTTATCTTATAACATAAAAACTTTCGAAAAATTCGGGAAGGGAGGGAAAGGGGAAGAAGATTAAATTGTCAAATTAAAAACAATCAAAACAAATCTAATAATTTTTTTCTTTTAATTTTTTTCAGATGGGGGGGGGGCACGTCACACTTATTAACTTCAGGAGTTAGAATACCTTCATCGGATTGCACTTTTTTTTGGTAAGATTACTATGTATCCGTACATCTATTACGAACCGTTACTCTTTCCGGATTTTTGTTTGCAGCGAAGACCCGAAGACCCGAAGACCTGAAGTGCTACAAAGGGGGCGACGGATAGGGATGTTCCAGACCTCTCACCGAGCGACGATTTGGAAGCAGAAGCTACTTCGTGAAGCTGTTTGAAGATCCCAATGGCAACTCTCCTCCTAACCAACGGAATGAAGAGAATAAAATGAATCTCCGGGTATCAGATGAAAAAGAAGAGCTTCAGGTTGGAGGACTCCAGCGGACGGCAGTAAACTCTCGAGCCTACGCGACTGGACCGTTTAGAGAAGCCACTTTCTTTCTACTATTACCGTAACTACACTGTTGCTTAATTCTATCTTCTTATTCTAACTCCTTCCTTTGAATCACACAGGAACACTTCTACACCAAATCTTCGGAAGAGTCGCTTAGTGGATAGGAGAACTTTCTTCGGATGAATCCAGGCTTCGCGCAACAGTTGAAGATTCCAATTCCCTTGGACCAAGAGCGTTTTCGAGACACGTTTTGATGGAAAATCCAAGTTTCGACTCCAGTGGCAAGACTCTTCAAGAAAGGATTTCTTCCAAGACGCTGAAGAAGCACATCCCACGTAGAGAAGCGGTTCACAAGTCCGGTCCCCGTCCATAGATGTGGAATCCACTCTTCATACCGATTTGCCTATCCCATCTTGATTAGGTCCTTATCTACCGTTGTCTTGGAAATGTTGGTGTCCTCCGCTATCCCGTACGCACTACATAGAAGATTTCCAGCGAGAACAGTCTTCATGACGTCCGAATCCGTCGTTACCGGGCACCCGCAGTGATCTTCATCTTGCAAATCGAAATTTCCGGTTGTAATCTTCTTAATCCAATTTCGAACGGTCCGTCCTAATAGTCGTAGTAACACTCCCGTAAACGGTGCAAATCTCTTCTGCGGTGTCCTTTCCTTGCGAAGCAATCAATCTTCAAATTCTTCTTTTGCCTCTCCATATTGAACGGTGCAGAAACAATCCTGAAAGAGACTTTCCCCCATCGAAACTTAGTTTTGAAAAACTTTTAAGACGACCGAAACCGATTTTATAATAGATAAGTCTGCACGTTTAAATAAATGTAGTCAGTCAAAGTCATTTTTAGCGTGACAATCCTACTATACGACCCCCCCCCCTATTATTACCTAACGTATTATTGCATTACATTTAGTAAACGGTACTACCCCTACTTATAAACGTTCTCTGAAAGTAAGTACTTAAATATTAAAGCCTAATAATAATGTTAATAATAATAAATAAATAAATTGAATATTATAAATTTCTCTAATCCTAATAATCTTCGACGGTAAATAAAAAAAGTAACGTTCAGTTCTAGTAAACCCCTCCTCCCCCTCCCCCCAATTGCACTCCGACGGCAGTAATAAGCAACGAAACAAAAAAAAAAAAAAGAAAAAGAAAATTGTCACGCTTGTCAAAAAGTGTCACTCCCCAAGTCAGTTTAGTAGTTGAAAGTTCAAATTACCTTAAGAATTTAAAGAAGCTTTTCCCTCCGCTCAATCCTTATAAATATTTTATATGTTTTGATCGTCTCAAAAGTAAACAACAGGATGACAGCGAATGACCCAATTTCGATAATTCAGACATGTTAACCGGTCTCCTGTCGTAGTCGATTTTTTCTTCGAATATTCCATGAGATTCTGGTATTTCTTGTTGAGAGCGATGAACTAGGGTTCCGTTGACGTAGAGAACGTTGGCAGCTGCTTCTTCGGGTACTGTTAAAGTGCTGTAGTTGTATTCCGTTTCTCTTTCTATTCTCTGAAATAATTTAATTTCTCTTAAGTATATATGTAACATAAATATAATAAAAAATAATTTTAATTATTCAATTAAATATAATATAATTTTATCACGAATTATTATTATTATTATTTTTTTTTTATTCAACGTTAACGGAAATGACGAATCAAAAAAAAGGAGAAACAATTTTTTTTCTTTTTTTTTTTTCGGGGTAAAGTTAACGGTATTATGACGTTAATGATTATTTAATGAGTTTTTTTTTTTTTTTTTTTTTTTTGGTTTGGTTTTTAAAAAACGAAAACAAATTTTAATACGTTAAAATAATGATTTTTTTGTTTTTTCAAATTCACTTACCTTAAGCAAATCCTGAGCTGGTTTCGTGGCAGCAACGCAAAGTAAATCCGGTCCGGCAACGGAAACCAAATTTTTCAATCTGTAGTCTTCTTCAACATTTATTGGAATGCATGAATATTCTGGAAAAGCTGCTGCCACTGCTTTTGCTCCGGCTTCGTTTGTTTTGTCGGAAAGTCCTATGAAAAATTCTCGACCGGTGAAAAGTACGTCACCTCCGTCCAATTTAGCTTCCGTATCTTTTATGTCGATTATCGGGAGATCCAATTCTTTTTTAAAAACTGATCTTATTGTTTCAAGCTGAAAAGAAAAAAAAACTTTAAATATTGTCAATTGCCAACAACAACTTTCATAATTATAAAATTCATTTGGTACGATTCGTTACGCTGCGAGTTTTTAAAATAATTAAATCAAAAATATTTTTAATACAATTTATACAATTTATTTTGCCACAATTCAACCTAAAACCTATTCCAAGCAAGTGAAATTAAGCGGGGTACCTTACACGCATTACGTCCAAATTTTGACCATATTTGCTTTATTCAAGTATTTTAAACCTAACGTCAATTGCCTACTCTAAATCTGATGACAGGGGCCTAGCGACAGTCACTTCTTCACTATTTATATCTCTAAGGGGTGTTTGTTTATAGATTAATCGTTTCTCTTCTGCTACTAAAAAAAGTCAGGATAAGTCTTTTCTAACATACGTATCAAGTCGTAAAAAAAGACAGTCTGTTTATTAATTTACCATCTGTTCGTTTAGGTACAAAATTTTTTAAATAAGGTTTTTGTCTTATATGGTTTTCTCTTACTGACAGTTCCATTTTGAATTTTTGGAATTATTTTGCAGCCAATTAATATAACTAATGCAATAGCCATTATTAGACAGAAAAAAATTTTAACGAATTATTGAGGGGTTGGTTTATAACAAGTAAGTAAAATCAAGTGTTACGAGCTTAAGGCACATCAAGTTTAAGTTTCGATTGCTCAACATCTGAAAAAATATCGCTCGGGGGTAACTTTCAAACGACTTAAGTAACACTTTGCCATTTTATTGAATAATAAAAGTAAAAAATTTTTACAAAATGGTACCCCCCCTCCCATTTATCCTACTACAATTCGATTGAAAAACTTTTACTTAGAATCATTTTTCATCATTAAGAACTACTAGTTTAACGTAGAATAATTCAGATACCTGATATTAACTGCAACTGCTTAGATTTGACTGCCAGGAACTGCTTCGTGACTTCGACATTATTTATACCAAAAGAAATACTTGTGTGTTGTTTAAATGTTTCCTTTTCTTTTCTTGGTATTAATAGTGATAAGGGTGATTTTTCGGTCGTAAATATCTAATCAAAAAAAAAAAAGAAAACAGACTGTTTAATAACTCATGATATGATTTCTTGAAATGATGGGGATGATTACGAAAGTTTGTATTTGTAAAAATTTTTTTTTTGGTTTGTTTTTAATGAAATAAAATAACATATATTTGTCTTTGACGTTACTCCACCATTATTTATTACATTTAAATAAAATTTGGACAATTCGCAAACCATGTAAAGAATGTCAAAGGCGGCATATATTTTGTATAATTTCGTTTGATCATTGAGAACGTAATAATAACAATGAAACACCATAAAGATTTCAAATAGTTTTCCTGAAATTATTAGCTTAGAGAGTCTCATTCCTAAGGATGCTTGTTAATTATCTAATCATCAAAAGACAGACAGACAGACTCCTCATTAATAATTCATTTAAGCCCGATTTTCCGAAATAGAATAGTTTCGAAACCGTCCATTTGTTTACTTTTAATTATTAATTGATTGAAAAATAGATTCATGTCGGTTAAACTTGTAAATTTTACATGAGTTTCATATCCTTCACTATCGAAAATTATTATTATTTTTTTTTTTTTAAATTCAATCGCTAGAAAAGAATTCTGATAATCGAAGTGTGACAACAAAAAAAATTAATTTTTTTTTCGGGTTAACCAGTCAACCAACAATTTACGTGAGCAATAAAATTCTTTGAAAATCGAATTTGAAACGTTAAAAATTAATAGGTTTTTCTTTTGCTTCGGGTGTTTTTAATTGTATTTAAAAAAATTATTTTTAACTTTTTTATTTCTTTTCAAGTCGCGAGAACTGTTTGCAAACTCTCATAAAATAATAAATAAATACAATTTATTTTATCATTATACAACGTATTAACCATAGCAAATGAGTATAATCGAAATTAACTACAGGATATATTTATAGAATATATATCGGAGGCCAAGTCTCCATGATATTGTCGTACTAATCCCTCAAAATTTAACAACAGCATCAATTGCCATCGCATCATTATCTTAATCTAAGGGGAATATATGAGAGAATGTTTTTTCTTTCTAAAAATTAATTTAATTAGATTTCGACTTCAAAATGTAAATCTAATCATGAGAAAAAAAAAAAAAACGGTTACTTTTTATAATTCGTTAAATTTTTTAATCAGATGTGATTTCCTCGAACACGTTTGATTAACAAGATTTAATCGTTCTCTCAATTATTATTCATATTTCAAATCAATCATTCTAAGATTAAGCAGATCTAGATTGGCTTATAAAAACTTGACAGGACTATTAAAAATAAATAGATTTCAACTAAAAATTTCAACTAAAAACCCATTGTTAATGTTGGTCCCTTAAAACTCTTTAAGAATCAATTGCTCTTCATTATTATTATTATTCATTACTAAATTATTCCTTATTCTCTTCATATTATTATTCATTATTATTATTTTCTAAATTAGGGTAAATTTTAAAATGTTTATTCATCATTAAAGGGATAAATTATTTATAGTTGTTTATAGAATGTTCATTTTACAAAGTAATTTATTAAGAATATTTATTTTTACTCGCGTCAATCGTAAATTACATTGGAAAGAATTACAGGCAAACCCAAGCTACGTGAAAAATGTCAAAGATTTCTTTAGTCTAATAAAACCCACTAGAATTTTATTTGAAAATTTCGTTTAAGACAAAATATTGAAATCAATAATAGTGACAACGATAATGCATTATTTTAATAAAAAAAAAAAAATTATTTTTTAAATTTTACCAACGTTTCCATTATTTAGAGACTTGTAAAAGCGAAAACATAAATCCTCTTAAAAATCCATTTTTTCAACGAGTCATAAAAAAACGACGTCAAATCACGCGACAAAAATATTTTAATCCATTACAAACACGAAACGTACCCCTCGAAAAAGGGTTGTTATGTTACGAATATGTTGTTTATGAAAAGTAATTTTCCCCGTGAAAATTTATGGAATAATGCAACCGAGCAGACGACTATTGAAAATAAAACAAATTTACCATACCTAATAATGTCGACGTGAAATTTTATTCCAATAACTCAAAACGAAATCGAGAGAAATCCCCAAAGAATATTTTTGAATATTCATTCGAATATTGATGTTTTACGCCTTCCTCCTCATCTCTCACCCCCCCCCCCAAAAAAAAAAAAACTGAATTAAATTTCAATTTAAAAAATATAACAAGTATTTCCCTGAATAAGAATGTTTTTTTCAAAATAAGAAAAAAAGTAAAGGGGGTTTTAGAAAAAAAAAAAAAAATTTTTTTTTACTCCTTTTGGGTTTTAATTGGATTAAAAAAAAAAAAAAAAAAAAAAAAACGGGGGGGGCCCTTAACAAGATTTTAACAAAATTACATTCGAACATTTTTTTTTTTTTTTTTCAACGGGGACATTTGAACGACTATGTAATATTACAAAAATTAACCCAAGGGGGTAATATTAAAAAAAAAAAAAAAAAAAAAAAACTAAAACGGAAAAGAATTGAAAATTTAAAAAAGGAAAAAATATAAAAAAACGCACGCAAACATGTAAAAATCCCATTTAAAATGTCAAAAAAAAATAAAATAAAATAAAAATCAACCCACGTGTTTTTAGCGTTGATGAATAAATCACGTGATATAATTTTTTTTTTTTTTTTTCGAAAGAGTCATTTATTCAAAATCCATCCGTACCTGAACAAAAAAAAGAAAAATATTCATCGAAGGTCATCGAAAAACTAACGCGTGGGTTTTTATTGCTTTATGAAAATGGCGAGGGAAACCAACAACTACGATGGCAGTCATCACATGCCAGAAAACTATCAAACGGTAAACACAATCCTACGATGAATTAATTAATTAATAATTTTTCTCCAGTTTAAAACAAACCTAAAACCTTTAAACCTCTCCAAAATTTCCAAAAAGACTTATCGAAAACCTTCTTCGAAATGAAAAAAAAAAAAAAAAAAAAAAATAGCATCACAAACCAACAACGTTGCATTTTGAATTTTCTCCGACCGATTTAATTACGTAAAAAAGTAATTAACAACAAAAAAAACAACTTGAACAAGAATTTAATTACCCCCCCCCCAATTACATAGTAACAAAAAAAAAAAAATTTAACAAACGGACATTTTTGTGTGGGCGTTAACCAATTAAACGATCATGCTAACAACCGTAAAAAAAAAAAAACAAGTTCAATCGATCAGAACAAACGTTTTAAAAATAATAAATTTTTTTTTTTTTTCCTTATATTCAACCAGGGTCCCCCACATATTTGTGTGTATATTGAAAATTTGAAAAAAATTTTAATTCGTCCCAATTACATTACAAAACCAGACACTTCCGCCCGTCTCGACCTGTGCAAATATTTTATTATAGTCTATTTTTAGTTTATTTTTCGCCTTTTAAAATTTTACCTAACTTGGTATTTGATTGGAAACATGTAACCTTGTTAATTTATTTTATGGTATAAATTTCATCTTTTGTGTGTAACACAAGAAATAATTTTTTCCCCCCCTCCCCACACAATAAAAACCTCAAAATCAAAATGAATTCAAAAATTTAAAGAAAAATGAAACCAGTTGAAAATTATATACATATAAATAAATAGATATTTTTCTTTTGTTAATCTATCACACGGTTAAATTGAAACAATGAAAAAAGGTATTGTCATTGTCATGTATAAATAACAAACCAACAAAACTATATTTTATTGTTTATGACAATCCATTACACCCCCCCATCATTGTAAGAATATAAATCTTTACAATAAATTGTAACAATTTTCACTTAATTAAATTGTCATTTTCAAATACAATAATAATTAACTAATTTCTGATTAAATAAAAAACAGGGTTTCAATTTTATAATACTCATGCTACATGATAATAATAATAATAATTAAATTGTTGAATTATTTCATCTATTCAAAAACGATCTAATCTGTTACTATTATATATGTATCACCTTAACAAAACATATAACAATGTGGAAAAAATTTAATTGAATTATTTGAACGTTCAACTCAAAAAAAAAAAAAAAAAAACGTTTATGCAAAAAACCATTTTTGTACATAATTAAATGAATCATTTAAGAAAAACGATAAAAAAGCAGAAAAAGTTAAGATAACGTTTATCGAATTAAAATTTCAAATCGTAATGAAAAAAAAATGGGGGGGTTTACCATTATTGACCTAAAAACGCAGCGTATACGAATTTATATATATATATAAATACATTAATAAAATGAAAAATTTTTTTGTGGTTTAAAAAAAAAAGATGGCAGTATTACATAAGTAATGTTTTTTGAAATGATTAACGCGGAAAAAAGGAAATTTGTTTAAAAAAGAAAAAAAAAACACTTACTTCTTTTAATCGACCTGTTTCTGGACGTGTGATCAAAACGCTTCCATTTAAAACTATAGCTGTATCTTCTACATAAACACTTTCCGGTAAATTTTCATCAGGCGGAAGTTCAATAACGTCCAATCCGAGTTCTCTAAGCAATTTGACAAAAATTTCATGTTGTTTCTTGGCTTCGTCTAAATTCACGTCGCATTTCGTACGGAATGACTGAGGAATTCGACAAACAATTGCATGTGTGAACTTCATCGCAGCCATTAACTGTTTGATACAATGCGAAGCCTTCCGCTTGGCAACTACACTAAAACGCTGCCTCCTGTATTCAAAATCCACGTTTTTGTTTTTCCTGTTTAAACGTTAAAACGTGTAATTAATTTCGAAATTTATTTAAAAATGTTTTTTTTTTACAAGTATTTCACATGATTTTTATTATTAATTAAAAAAAAACAATCCGTTGTTGTAAATAAAAACGAAAATTATAAATTTTTTTCACTTCGTGCCCAATCCTGGAGGCATTTAAATATTAACGGTTTAGTCGTTCTGGAACATTTTTGAATTTTCAAAACGCGCGTTCGTCGAACAAGTAATTGTAGTTTAAATAACCTAAAAATTTATTAAAAAACTAATGTTATAATTGTATTTTTGTGTTTATTTTTTACTGAAAAAAAAACGTACGGATTAATTTATTATAACTTAATAAAAATAATGAAAAAACATGAAAAACTCGGCAAGTATATATTAAAAATTACATTTTAAATGAGCTTTATAAAAATTTTTATTATATATATATATATTTGTATAAAGTAATCGCATAAAAATGAAAGCCAAAAAAAAAAAAAAAAAAAAAAAACACGCATACGCTATCCACAAATAATTTTTACAATATGATATATATTTATTTAAAAAAAAAAAGAACAAATTAGAAAGAAAAAAAAAAAAAAAAAAGAAAACATCATATCCATTAGGAACATAAACGAAAAATAAAATTCGTTACATTCCACAATAATACATATTTGAAAATTTATAAATATTAAAATTTTTTTTTTTTTTTTTGCTTTTTTTTATTTTAAATTTATTTTACTTTACTTTATAAAATCATTTAACTCGTTAATAATAATAATAATAATAATAATAATAATAATAATAATATTTTTAATTCAATATTTTTTATTTTATTTTATTTTAAAATTACTATATATTTATAATTATATTAATATTATTTATGTTATCATTATCATTATCATTATTTTAATAATAATCATATATCAATATACTAAAAACCTACTGGGGAGGAGGAGGAGGAGGTGGAGTAGGAGGAAAAAGGAAAGGAAACAAAAATGAAAGAAAGAAAAAAAAATTTTTTTTTTTTTGTAATTACACAATGCAGAATAATTTTGTTTTAGGATGAAAAGTTTTAATTAAAGATGGTTTACTCGTCATCACTCTTTTAAAAAAAAATTGTTAAAAACCACCCCTAATACAACTTTTCAACCCTTTACACTCAAATAAAATTCAATTGTTACAAATGCATGTATATATGTAAAAAAAAAAAGCCTTCGAGAAATAACTCAAAGCTGTCTTTAAAACAAAAAAAATTTAATAATAATAATAATAATATTTGGAGTATTTTTTTTTTATGGGGGCATCATCATCATCATCATTTTAATTACAATCAATCATAAATTCATAATCATCATTATCATTATCATTACGTATAATTAAACGTTACAATTTTATTTTTTAATAAAAAAACCGTTACAATTTTGTTTAAAAAAGCCGTTACAACGGGGGGAAGAGGGTAAGAGTAAGAGATTCCAAATTTTATTTTTTTATTTTGTTATAAATTTTAAAAAATATTATTATAATGCACATGCACACGTGCACGCACACGCACGCACGCACGCACACACACTACAAAACTACAATTTTTTTTTTTTTTATTATTTTTATTTATTTAAAAATATGGCGCGTTCGAAAATGTTTTTAAATTGTTATCAATCATACATAACGTTCGTAAATATATATAAATTTTCTCATTTTTTAAACAAATGAACATAATAATAATTTCTTACCGGAAAAATCAAAAACAATAATAAATAATAGTAATAATAATAAAATGCATTTATAAAAAAAGAAATTTAAATTAAAAAAAAAAAAAAATTATTGTATATTCAATTTAAAGCTTGATTTACCTGTTAATTAATTTAATTAATTAATTAATTAATCATTTAATGTAAGAAAACAATTTTTTCCATTTTATTTGCCCATATTACTCTTTCTTTTTTGGCATTTTACCGTAAAATCTACAACTAATTTTAAATATACGTTAATACAAAAAAAAAAAAAAAAAAAATTATTGAAAGATTTTAAAAATTATTTTTCCTGAGTTTTTAATTTTTTTTTTTTTTTACGTTTGAAAATTTAAAAAATTTTTAGCCCCCCCCCCCTACAAAAAAAAAAAAAAAATTAAAAAATTTTCACACTAAATATTTATATTTATTTATTATTATTTTTTTTTAAACTTTTAAAAAAAAATTTACACAAATAGTCTTATTATCATTATCATAATAATTATAACTACTACTGTTTATTATTATAAATATTATTATTATTATTATTATTATTAGCATTAAATAATGGACAGATATTTTTTTTTCCGTGTATCGTATTTTAATTTATATGCCATAAATATCAAGCCATAAATCTTAGTTAGTTTAAAAAAAATTTTTTTTTGGTTAAAAAATAATAAAAAAAATATAAAAAATAAATTAAACAAACGAAAAAACAAACAAACAAACGGACAAACGTTATTTTCCATATATAAATATATATATAAGTGATACACATTACAGTATAAATATTATATTTAATTTAAAAACTTTTGTTTTATAATATCTCAGGTCCGACATATTTGAAAAATTTTACTTATTTGGCATACATATATATATATAAAAATTTATGAATGAATTTATGAATGAATGAATGAATGAATGAATGAATGATTTTGTTTTTGTTTTTTTGTGTCTCATTAATTATTACAAAATTTTAACTTTTTTTTTTTTTATTCTTCTCTTCCCTCCGAATATTAATCCCCTTTTGTTGTAATTTTTTTATCATTAATCAGTCGCAACGAATCGAATAAACTACAATTAATAATGTTTATCATCATCATTATCGTCAATAGGTACGACAATGTGTGATTGCCAATATAAAAAAAAAAATACCTAAAAAAACTATGTGGTCAATTTTTTTTTCTTTTTTTTTTTTTTTTTGTTTACACTGATATATTTATTATTATTATCATCATCATCATCATAATTAGGGCAATTTTAAAAAACGGAGAGCAAAACACACAATTATATGAAAATAAAACAAAAGCAGTCTTTAAAATATAAATGTATAAATATTAATAATAATAATAATAAAATAATAATATTAATTAAAATTAAAAAATAAAATTAATAATAAAATTAAAATTAATATTAAAAAAAAAAAAAAAAAATTTATAATATATATATATATATATAAATATAATCAATTCACAGGTTAATTAAAATTACTTTATTATTATTATTATTATTATTATTATTATCATCACCATCATCATTATCATTATCATAATCATAATCATAATCAGTACCGTTTTAACTTAAAAAAAATTACATCAAACATTCGCTGATACAATATTATTATTATTATTATTATCATTATTCATTTCAGTTCAACGTTCGGAGAGGGAGGGAGGGTGGGAGGGGGAAGGGGAGGGACATTAAGAAAATAGGGAAACCTTAAAGTTGAGAAAATTAAAGATGGAGCAGAAGATACAAACCCCTCCCCCTTTGGTTTAAACTCCTCCTCCTCCTCCTCCCCCCTCCTTCCTGCTCGTTTCCTAAACGTCCTGAGATCACGTGGAAATTTTTATCTAAACTTACCCAACGATTAACCCGTTCGTTATCACTCACTCTTACTCTACCCGTTTTTTTTTTTTATGTAAAATTTGACCTTTGAACCCGAATCCCTTTTTTTGTTTTTTTATCGTCGCATTAAAATCGTTCTTAAATTTTTTTTTCTCTCTTTCTCCTTTTTCCCTTTAATTTTCTCATGAGTTCTACACTTAATAACAATAATAATAATACCTTAAAAATCACCTTAATAATGATAATAATAATTAATAATAATTTTTAATTTAAATATATATATATATATATAATTTTTTTTTATTTCTTTCTCTCTCTCTCTCTCTCTCTCTCTCTCTCTCTTATACATATACATATATATTAAAAAAAAAAAAAAAAAAAGGAAAAAAAAAGCTAGCTAAACAAATAAGCTTACATTCTTAACAAATAATTAATATATGCTCTATTACTAAGTTATGTGAATATGATAATGACAGTAATAAATTTTTAGCTTATCATTATTATTATTATTATTATTTCGATGAGGTAATAATTATTATTATTATTATGACGAGGACGATAATGAAATAAGACGAAAGTGAATGGTCGCACGCTCAATACAATTTTTTCTTATCCAGACATTAAGGACTCTGACGAAGGGAAGGAGGAGGAGGTGGAGTAGGAGGAGGAGGAGGACGTTCATTCGGGAAATTTCGTCATGAAAAAAAAAAAGAGAAAACGGGGAAAGAGGGAAGGGAATGGAGGGGAGAGAGAAAATTTGGGGATTTATTTACCTATCCGCGTGAGAGCCGAGTGAATGCGTGCGTGTCCGTCATATGCGTGAATAATAATAATAATAATAATAATAATAATAATAATAATAATAATAATAATAATGACGATAATGATAATAGTGACAAATAAATAATTTTTTTTTTTTTTTTTTTGAGGAAATGAGAGAGACAAATGAATACAATTATTATTATTATTATTACACAGTCGACAGCGAGTTTAAATGCAAAAAAAAAAAATAATAAAAAAATGCAACCTGAACCTTTTTTCTTTTTCTTTTTTTCCTACAGGTTCGTTTGTGGTGTGTGTGTGTGTTTTAAACTTAACATTTAACTTACGTAATAATTAAAAAAAAAAAAAAAAAACTGTTGACATTTTACATACTCGGTACTTTGGTTTATTTTCTTTCTTTTTCCTTTTCTTTTACTCTTAATAAAATAAATTAAAATAAACGAACAAAAAATACACACAGAGAGACGAAAAATAAAATTTTTGGATCAACGTCAGTCACGCGTTTAAAATTTTAAATTAACGAAAAAAAAAAAAAAAAAAAAACGCAAATACGAACACATAGAGTAAAAAAAAAAAACGATTCTGTCGGTTAAGATACATTTTCCCGCCAATTTATTTTAAAAAAAATATAATAATAATAATAATTCTAACCGCGACAGAATCGCATTGTTTTGTTTTAAAAAAAAAAAAATAATAATACGTCGAAAAAAAAAAAAAATCGACCGTCGTGTATTTCACAAACTTTTTTTCTTTTTTTTTTTTTTATCCATTCAAACTAAAAATTTTCTCAAGTCGTATGAAAATATTTTAATGATAATGCGTGTATTTGTTTGGGGGGCGAGAAACGAAAGTAATATTTAAAAAAAAAAAAAAAAAAAAAAAAACGAATATGATGATGACATGCTTCAAGTCTTCTCTCGGCTAAAAACTAATAATAATATTAATTAAAAACTATTTATTCACTTTCCTCCTCCTTCTTTTTTCTCTTCCTTTAACTTGTTCTCTTCCACTTCATTGTCGTTATCCTTTTCCTTTTTCTCATCCTCCTTTTCCTTTTCTATCTCGTCGTTGTTGGCTTCCTTTTCCTTATTCTCTTTCTCGTCTTTCTTTTCCTTTTGATCTTGTTCCTTTTCTTCCGGTGGCGGTTTCGGAAGGGGAGAATTCAAATCGAGAGTTTTGCATATGTCTTCCCAATCGGGAAAGCATTTTTCCTATAAATCAAGAAAAAGAAAAAGAAAAAAAAAAAAACTTAATTAAATTTTCTCCGGGAACGGGGGGGGGGGAGGGGAGAGAGAGAGAAAGGCGGTCTGGAATATTCGACCACGCTTTCACCGTACGATAAAAAAAAAAAAAGAAAAAGAGGAAAAAGTTTTTCCTAAACTATTTTTCACCCTTACTTACTTCACACCCTTCACACACACATTTCTCTCTCTCTCTCTCTCTCTCTTCCCCTCAAACCGAACCCCCGCCGGCCCCCACCCTTTTCCCTTCTCCCTATCCAACTCTTTCTTCACTTTTTTTTCTTTTTTTCCTTTCCTTCTACGACCCCATTCGAACTCCCTTTTTTTTTCCTTCCATTTTAATTCGTTTAAGCATTATTATTATTATTATTTTCACACTTTCTTTTTCTATCAACAGGTTAAAACGGCCGACAAAAAAAAAAAAAAAAAAAAAAATTTCCTTCAAAACTTTTTTCAAACCCACAAAAACAATTAATTTAATGAAAAACTGGAAAAAAAAAAAAAATAACCATCAACCCCCGTCGAATTTTTTTCTCCATAGAGAGAGAGAGAGAAAAAAAAAGAAACTTTTTGTCGCTACTGTTTTATTTTCGAGTGTAAATTAAATTACTCTCTCTCTCACTCTCTCTCTCTCTCTCTCTCTTTTTTTTTCTTATTCTTTCTCCTCCTACTCCTCCTCACCTTTATTCTATTGATCAATCCCACAAGATTTGGGCAGTTTTCAATCATGTACTCTCGTAGCGGATACGGTACTTCCTTGTCGATAAAATAAACTTGAGCGAGATTTGCAAAGGCGACCACGTCCACCTGTAAATAAATAAATAAATAAATAATCTCAAAAGGTTGCCTTTAAAAAAAAATCCCCCCCCTCCCTTCCCCACTTATCCCCTCCTCCTCTTCCTCCTTCCCTATTCAAATAATTATTGAAAATTCATTTCAACTCCCTCCTCCTTCCTCCTTCTCTAGTAGTAGTAGTAGTAGCCTTTATTTATAAACGAGAAAATTTTTCTTTAAGGGCACGCCATATATCAATTTATTAATGGCGCGGAAAAAAAACAATTGTAATAATAGTAATAATAATTCGTACATATATATATATACACGGGGGGATGGGGAGGGGGAAATGATTTTGTAATATCGAATTCTCGCCAACGCATTTTTTTTTTTTTTTCCGCTTGTAAAACTCACAAAGTAAAAAACGAAACAAATGAAGTGAAACCAGAATTAAAAAAAAAAAAACGCTTTGTTGAAAATTTACAAAAAAAGAAAAGAAAATTAATATTAAATGAAACTAATT